GGAACATATCTGCATGCAGGGTGCCTTTGTCAACATCTTTCTTAATTCTCTGCAGAGAATGGAAAGACGGGGATGCTCAGTAAAACAGTTTCAGTGGCCCAAGACTACCGGGTGCCGTTTAAGGGTAGGAATTCTGGCACTAAGAGAAATAAATTGTCACAAGGGATTAAAACCAATTGTTTTGCAGAAGGAAGGAACGATGGGCAGTATCCAGGAAACAGAAGATCCAAGGTCTTGCCTTTTACTCTGCCACAGGCAGTGTCAGGTGCTCGCAGGGGACTAATTTAACATCTGTGCCTCTGCTTCTCTAGCTGTAAAAGAGAGCAGATACCCACTCCACCAAAGTGGCACACGACAATTTTCCACAGGGCTTGCAAGGCCCTCTGGGATTCTGCCCTTGAAGGTTGAGCAGAAACTCAGAGTGTCTGCGTTGTATCATCTGCAAGGCCCAAGTTTAAGTATAGAGCTGTGACTAGCACGTGGACTTTCAGTCCCTGCCACCTGCCCATCTGTATCCCACTACAGGAGGAGCAGAGGTGACAGCTCGGTCTGTGCACCACAGCCCCACTGCAGCTGTCAATTTTAGATTCGGGGCCCCACAGAGCCCTGAGCAACAGGTTTTTTTCTCCTAAACAGAAAAAGAACAGAAGCCCCACTTCCACTCCTACTAAAGGCAACAAGAAGACACCAGCAAGAGCAGGATCAAGCCTCAGTTGAGGCAATTAAATGCATAATTTTAAATGTGATTTTCCCTTGCTCCTTTCACTGCAAGGCCCTGTACTCCAGTGCTCATAGCAACATGCATCATTTGAAAGCAGCACTATGCAACACCACTGTAGGAGCTCTTTTAATAATGTCATTATCCACCCATCCTTCAAGCAGAGCTCCTACTTCCTTGTAATTCCCTTCCTCCCAGGGGTGATGGCATTGCTATGCTGTGTAACTGCTTCCAGGGGGCAGGCAGTGGATCCCGGCCAAAGCTGGGAGGCATGGGTCCAGTCCTCAGGAAGATGAGCAGGGCTTGGATGCACCTGAGAGCACAACAGCATGGTGCTGTCCTGTTCTTGCCGCACATCTGTACCCAACCTTGCACTTAGGTTTTGTTACTGCAGCGTATGCTGTGTTGTTACTGTGTGGCCTGGTATCCAATTCATAGGAATGGTATTCAATTCTTAGAAAGGCAGAAAAGAGGAAAGTGTGTTTGAGGCATTGCACAACAAAGCTGTAACTTGTGTGATGCTCAGAAGCCCCGGGGAAGGCCGATAATGAAGTTCCGGAGGAAACAGGACTCTGCTCATAGCGCAGCAAAAAGGAAGCTTCAGTTAACCTAAGGACCAGGGTCTGCCTGTAGTGCTGTCTTGGAAAAATTTCTTATTTTGGGGCTATGGCTTACGTGTCTTCTTGCTCTCCACATCCACATAAGCAAGTCCATTAGCAAGCTGAAAGACACACTCTTCAAGACAGGATATCTACACTGGAGAGATCCTTTTCCGTGCACCCACTTCAGTGAAGTCAACTGCACTATTCCACCTACCGTCCTCGAGCAACAGAACATCAGGCACGCAGGGACAGGAAGCCTCTAGGAACAAGCATTAGTGACAGTCCTGTTTTCTGAGTAAGAGGTTATACAGTGATGACTCCTTCAGCCACTGCCAGTTCTCCAGCACATGGAAAACAAGCAAGACAAGTTTTTGCATAGGTGATTGGTTCTGAGGCATAGCTAGTGGACCTCTGGTGTTGGAGACATGGTTGGAGGGGCTGGGAGCTGCCCACTTTGAACAGACCCCTGAGAGAGAGCTGCCAGGGCAGGAAAGGAAAGAAATGCCTTCTAGGAAAGGTGCTGTAAGTATCAAGTGCACTAATTCGTAGCCTGGTGCATGTATTGTGGCATCTACAGCAGGAGCTCTCAAGTTCAAAGGGCTGTGAGTCACCGTGCCGAGCAAGTGCCATTGCTCTGGCAATGTCATGCTTCGCTGTCACACAGGTCTAGAGCAGCAGAAGTCACCAACAAGCTGCAGGCTGCAGATAGCTGAGATACAGCAGCCTTTTCAGTCTGCCTCTCACCTTAAACACCCTTCCAAGCCTCACCTGAGCAAACAGCTGTCAGGGATGGATGGGCAGAGGTGAGAGAGGGAGAGAGAGAGAGACACAGGCAGGAGGCTTCACACCTTACAGCACTGAAGTGCACCTCAGTGACCGCAAAGTGCCTGTCTGCTAACGATAACAGAAACGGTGGTTATTTCCTCCTCAGTCCCAGGTAGGCTGCAGTTTGTCCTTAAATGCTGAGGAGAGCGCACATTCATACGTGCAGGGGACATACAGGCTGAAGCCTGCAGGAGCACAGCAAGATTTGCACTGTCTGCACGAAAGGAGGGGAAATAAACACTGAGAAAGCAGTTGGCTTCGCTATCATACAAGCTGCATAGAATAACTGCATTATTTTTCTCCTGAAAACCACACAGCTCCCTGTAGTAAACACACTGCGTACGCAACATGACAAAGCTTCTTGGGCTGAGAAAACCCCAATGAGTTGGAGTGGGAGTTAGTTATTTGTTGTCAAAGAGATGCTGGTTTTCCTCAACGCACAATGGCTGAAAAGCAGACACTTCACCAGCAAGCAGTACATCGCTACGGGAGAGATCAATCCCCTCAGAGCCAGGACATCCGCTCGCGCTGAGCAAATCACTCCATAGGTCACAAGAGGCTCCTCTTCCCCCTCACTGTCCTTCTTGCCTTGAAGTTCCAGGTGTTTGCTTTCAAGTACAAAACTGGCTTGGATATCCACAGCCTACTGTTTGCACACACAGGCACATTAACAAGTTTTAAGAGCTTTACCGGAATTAGCTAAAAAAACGCTAGCTTCACTGACAGACTGCAAGACGACTGTTTATCCCCCTTCAAAGAACAAGGAAACTGAGGCATGGAGAGGTGTTCTTGAGAAGGGGAATCAGGATTCCCCATGTATCATGGGCTAAACATGTCTGATAAAAGAGATCAACAGTGGCAAAATACATCCAATTAGCAGAAGCTCTCAGCAGGTGGAACTACAGAGGGAACGAGTCCCACCAGACCTTGCAATTCAGGCAAACACTTCAGCCCTCTCCCAGCGGAATCCAATTCAGCTTGACAAAGCTTGCCACTAAAAAAAAACGCCACCCCAACCCCCCAAAAAACCCCACACGCTAGTCGTCTTCAGCCTCGCACACATGTAATGCCAGCCCTCCCATGGCTTGTAGGCTGCTTGCACCTGCAAGGTAGAGCAGCATTAGCCTCCAACACCTCCCGGCTGCATTCGCTGTGCCAGTCAGGCAGGGTGCACTCATGTTGCCTAGCAATAGAGAGGTCTCCTTGCTTTATATGGCCAAAAATGCAGCTTGCTGCAGCAAGCCCCATCCCCAGCATCAGAAACAGATGAGGACATCTTTAAGATCAGGGGGAGAGCAAGTCTGAGCTCCTTGCGGGATTTTGAGGTACGTTTGAGGCAGAGATGACAACACCCACATCTCCTTCTGTAAGGGACTGCACAAGTTGCCTTTATCATTTCTAGGCTGAAGATGAAACAACTGAACAGAGGGACACCACTGTGCTAAGAATCGTGCACTTTAAAATATCAGGCACGCTCTTGTCAATTTGTGCACCAATATCTCAAGTCAGTCGCACTCAGGGCTGTAAAACTCCTTTTTCACCATTTGCATCCTGGTTGTGCACCACTTGGTCAGCAAAATCTAGTGGCTGGCACGGGCAAAGGCATGTCCGGGTACCAAGGTTCTTGTCCTGGCTCTGTATACAAGTACTGGAGTGCCTTAGACAAGTCACTAGATCTTTTCTGCCTCTATTTGCCCAGCCATGACAGAGACTTTCTTATTCAGGTCACATGAAGGGAATTCAGCAACACGGCCTGGACTGACAGAGATTATTGAAAACTGACCCTCCACGCTCAGTTCTGCACACAAGTCTGGAAAATCAAAGCAAGGACCAAATCTCTCTGCTTCTGCCTTCCCAGCTCTCAACTCCTGCTGGCCAGACTGAGGACAGGCAGACTGATCACTCAATCGGGGGAACATCCCTGGCAGCAAGCTGAGAGTGTTACTCAGGCTTTATAGAGCCCCAACAGCCAGCTGGGTACAAAGATGCCTACAATTCCACCCATAACCATGAATCTCCTGGGCTTACATCTCTTTTTGCCCTAGGCAACATGCATTATACTGCATCTCACAGATATTTCGGTACACTGCTTCAAAGCGGATTTACAAGGGCTAAGGGGACCATAGGATATAATGCATCAGAACTGCCCATTGCAGGAAAGCAACCTTGCCACACTGCAACTCTACTCCAGTAATGTGACGGTCATATCATGCCAATATGAAAACAGAGGAGCTATTATGATTTCCACTCCTCTTCCCTCCAAACCAATTCATACCATATACATGCTTGGTAGTGGCTCCGGCCTCAGGAGGCCTCCACACAAATCTGGACCTTTTTTACAGCACATGTGCAACTTAGTCCTGCCTCTTATTAGAAGAGAAGTCTCTACATGACTTGGTGAGTGGCATTTTGCTTGGACACTTGCCTGGTTTCATACGCAAAAATGTGTTCATATGCCCAAAAATGTCTTCATAGCACTCCTGAACATAGCATCTGCCTCTTTAATTGGAGACAAGGAACAAGTCTTCTCCTGTGCCTGCCCAGTTCCAATTAAGTACTGTTTCCTCCCTTGTCTACCTCTTATTTCTCCCAAGAGTACCCCAGCCAATGACTGGGGCAGAGTACACAAGCCAAACACACTTTCTTCACTTTGAAGTAAACCCAGAGAGACTCAGCTCCACAATCAGGTATAAGCAAAGATACAATGAGAATTGAATAACCACGTATTAATGAAATTGTGTTTCTCCTACAGGGGCTAAATCTTGCTGAAATAAATTTTCAGGAGCGTGATAAAGGTTTGCTACCTTTGCATCTCAAGAAAGCTGCAGAGAAAAAAATCTGTCCAGTGCTCTGATCAGTTTGTAGCTCAGCTGCACCATTCCAGCCTGAAAGTTCACTTGTGCTACAGAATACACAAGCAAAGTCTCTGCTAGGAATGGCATATCAGAGAGAAGCAGACTGAGCTCTCTGTATTACAAAGGAAGTAGACTCGTAACAGGAGTGGTTGTTTAATCAAAAACTGTTCTCCAAGCTGGAGAGGAACTGCAGCCACCTCTTATCCTTGATTAGCGCCCTGCATAAAGGCTGAAGGCAGCTTTGCATTCCCCCATCCCTTCTACTTCATTTTTATTAGCTCAAAACAACCCAGAGCAGTGCGACAGAGCCCACCCTTGTAAAGTGGAATAGAACCAACTGCAACATGCATCAACTTCTATATTTCCATGGGGCTCAGTGTGCACTTGAAACCCAGCTGCTTTCAGCAGCCACGAGAGATCCACATCAAGCACAGCATGCAGGCTCATGCTTCCTTCCCACCCTCAAGACTGAGGAAACAGGACAGAGAAAGGAAGAGGATAAAGCTCTTTGGGGTTGAAAATGCCTCCGTATTGTTACTGCTATTTAACCAAATGCACATCTGATGAGATAGAGCCCTAAGCACAGGCCATGAGGAGGTACAAATGCTTCTAAATATATAGACAGGCTATCTTCTCTCCCCTTTCCCTGCTCTTCTTTGTTCATTTATTCACATCAGAAGAACAACGCGTCCTCCTCCCCCAGCGACACGCTGCTGGAAGCGATGCCTTTCCACTGAGACAGTAGCAGCAAGATCCGGGTCTTCTGTCTGCATTCGCAACATTAAAAGCTTTTGCAGGAGCCTTTTGCTCAAGGAAATATTTACTTCCTCCAGCCCAGCATGGAGACAGGGGTACTTGGTCAATGAGGACATACGGTCTAAAGGGCTATCCAGTATAAATTACCATGATTAACAAAGCAAGTAGCAGAGCAGAGGAAGCCTGCTGCTCATCAGAAGTCTTCTTTGGCTTACTAAGTTTGCTAACTAGTGCTGCTCCCTTAACCCTTTCACTGATGCAAGAAAATACAAGCCTCCTGGCAGCTGTTGTTTTTAACTTACAAGCACTGGAACATGGATGAGGACTACTCAAGAATGCTTTAAGCTGACAGTAACCACCACTGTTGCCAAAAACCATCGTTTCTCCCAGTTCCTTATGCCTACCTCTGTGATGTCACCAACTTATACTGGATTAGATTAGCAGGGAAAATACAAAATTCATTTTAACCAAGATGAGCTCCTCGATCAGCACACAACTGCATGAAGAAAGGCACAATTAGATGACAAGATGCCTCTTTTGGTAGTGGTACTGGTTCACAGCGGTCTGAACCATCCTGTGTATGAACAATCCAAGGGCACAACTACACATTCACTCCAAGATGGCATAACCACAGGCTAACATGCGCTCCCATTACCAGTGTATTTTGGATATCTGGCAGCTGCCTGACATGCTGAAACATCGTCAGTCAGAGCAGTGGGCAGTTATGGCATGAGATCACCAAATCCTGCACTGCAGACAAGGCTTGCAAAACTGAGCAGAGGAAAGCAGCAGTACAGAGATCTCAATTTTGCTCTCTCAAGGTCTAAGCCCTCTCAAGGTCTAAGCCCTCTCAAGGTCTAAGCCCTCTCACTGCCCTCTCCGAGCAGTCAAAACGCAGGACTCCAGAGCCAACACAGGTCAAGACCACCGCATTGGCCCCGCTTAGGCAACCCAAGTTTGTCACATTTTAGTTTTCACTTTAGCCCCCTAGTTTTTCCATCAACTGTTCAGTTTAGAATCCAGGAAATACTGTACTGGCTTACCACAAAAGTCTCTCCTACCTGCTTGGAGTAGCCTCCATAGACGATTATGCTGCCCTCAGGACTGGTAGCCATTTGACACCCAGATCTTGGAGTAGGCCCAATCCCCGATGGAGCCAGCTTGTTCCAGGTGAAGGAGTCCAGGTTGAAAGCATACACATCATTGTAATAGATGTAATCTCTAGGGAGAGCAAATCGGCACATCACAGGTTTTTGTAATGGTCACCATCCAGGACAGGATAAAATATCACTTCAGGAACAGCACCAGGAACCTCTGAAGAGGTGCAACACCTTATTCAGCTTCTTGTATTTATAGTTTTTCTCCTTTGGAAGCCATAGAAATGTACAAAAAATTTGTTCAGGTGAAGGTTACTATTTCAGTGCAACAATTTGCATTTGACAAAGCTCCTTTAAGCAAGACGTCTCTGGGTTCTTTTTTACCTATGTCCTTTCTTAGTATAATAGAGGTTTTATCAACTCTTTCCAGTTAACACGATCCAAGGTAACTTAAACCAGAACACAAAAGATCAAAACAGATTAGAACTGTCTGTTTAGGGGGGTGGGAAAAAATATACATATGCCGTGTTCTTTCTACTAGTTAGCTCACATACTGCTAGTGGAAAATGCTCTGCACAGGTTAAACTCCCAAGGACACAGCCAAATCTCGGGTGGGCTTTGCAACCCGCACTGTGCTCCCAGGGACTACAGTTATGCTCCTTACTGTCTCTGAGACAATATGCAGCTCAGCTCTCTTCACAGTCCCCATGACAGTAGCTGTGACCTCACGTAGTATGTGAGAACCTACTGGAGGAGACACTTCTTGGAAGACAAGGCTCCTCGACAAGACTCAGAAGCCAAAAGTGATGTATCGAGCTTTAGCTACAAGGATGAGCAGCTACTTCAGTGATTAGCTAAATGGTAAAATGGTTTCTCAAACACTTGAAGACTTTAAATCAAGATCACTTGTCCTTCTAACATAAAAGTCCAGTTCAGTAACAGTACTGCTGAGGATAATCCTCCCATTAAAGCCCAGCTTTCTGTTACCGGTGAAATTCTGTTGTCTTTTTTACAGAGGTTTCAATACCACCAGCCACTCTGCAGTAACGCACCTTGTACTCTCATGGAAACCTCCGAAGATGATCAGCTGCCTTTTGCAAGCAACCATTCGATGTCCACTTCGTCCAGAGGGACCTCCTGATGCCCTGGAATGTAAAGAAATTCCACTTATGAGCAAAATTCCCTTTCCTGTTAGTGTGTCAGTCCATTTTTATTGAAGTCATTGGCAGCTGGGCTGGCTGAGTTCAGCTTCTGTTCTCCTGGAATGGGAAACCATGGGGAACTTCATTGCCTTAATACTTACATATGCCTTTCTCCAGAACAGCATGTGTGCTCTTCCTGTAACTCTTGGTATTTGCAACACAGGCATTTTGCAGTAACAATTTTATTCCTCCTGATAAGCCATTAGGTTCTAACAGCAACCAAAGTCTTGAAGTCTTTTCTGCTATAACTCAGGAGCTAATTTTTCAGGAGAGTTTAACGAATAGCAGTTAATCCCCGCAATTGAAAGAAAGGCACTCCAGACAGAGGTGGTTTCTCCAAGTACAAAGTAAGAGCCAGAGACCAACTCTGACAGCCACTCTCCTTTAATGTCTTAAGAAATCACATACCCATAGCATCTTCACTCATCCACCTGCAGTTAGGATGTAACATCAAGTTGGTGTGAATACTTTGTAAATTACTTAGATTTCCTCAAGAACAAAGGCATTGCAGCAAAACAAGTCATCGATATTATCTTACACATTAAAAAGCAGCTACGCATCACTGTTCTGCTCTTTCAAGCCTTCCTGACCTTTCAGTTAAATGTGCTACTTCCATTTCCAGGAACAAGCAACAACACCCCATCTGTCACATCCAAAAGCTTCACGCGAAGCCAGGCAGCTGGCAACGACATTCCTGAGAGGCAATGAAGATGCACCTTCCTTCATGTTCACCCACAGCCTGAGCATCATGAGAGAGAAAACAACTTCAAGAACTCTCAAAACAAAGGCAACTTTAGGCCAAACTGCAGAGAAAACAGGGTTTTGCTTTGTGTGTTCTCTGCCCCCATGGATTAATCTATCACATTTTCACTCTTGCTGAGGAGTCTCCTAAGTGCACACAGCTAGCACCACTGAACTCAGCAAGGCTTCTCAAATAGGCAGTGTTAACATCTGTTAAGTGGTTGCAGAATCAGGGCCTAAATAAATAAGAAACCTTCTCACTGTTGAAAACAACAGCAAAACCTAAACTCACCACCCTACTGCTACACTTTAAGTGGCAGCAGATAGCTGTAAAGTGCAGTGATAGATTTCTGTGGAGAGAGAAAATGAAGGCACTTATTCACCATCAAAAATTACAATCTCACACCAGTCATAATGAAAAACTCCAAGCAGAACAGCAGCGTTTGGGTAAGACTGAATTAATATTGATTGCTTGGACTTTTTATTCTAACACAGAGTAGGGTTTTCTAGGCATTTACTGGATTTTAAAGTATCACCCTACAGAATAGCACCTCTAGTATTAATGTCATCAAGATCTGAAATCATTATTTTCTCTTCTGCAACAACGCTCCCACATTATTCCAAAGGATGGCATCTTTTAAAAAAAACTTTTTTTTTTTTAAAGGAAAGAAGGAATTAAAAATCAACATTAACAATAAAATCCTATTCTCAGGAATATCCTTTGCCTTGCTTCTCAAATAGGTTTCCTCCAAGTCAAAAATCAATTCTGAACAATAAAAAGTTCATTCCTTGATGTCTGTGTTTTAATAAACAAGTTCCCACAAGCGTACAATTAACTCAAAGTCACAAACAAAAACATCTGGTCTGGGGCCTGATCCGAATTCAGAGAAGTCTCTCTGAAGCCAGCACCACTTGCTCTCAATCACCAGGCTGTTCTCTCCTTTCTTTAGACTAGCAATACAAGCTACAAGGACAGATGCTGAAACACAGTTCCAGGAGGCCTCACCCTGCACAGTATTGTATCTCCTCAGCTTCCTCAGCCTCAGCGTTACACGTTGCAGGAATCAGCTATAAAAGGAAGTTTATAGCCTTTGATGTAAGGACATTCCCTCCTAAACTTGCAACAACTGCTCTTAGAAAGTATTTTTACATAGAGCGATTCATATAGCCAAGGTCCTCTGTTCCCCAGTCTCCAAACACAACACTGGAAAAACCAAATGGCACAGTCAAGCAGGACTGGCAGTAACGTATAACCATGCCACCACTCCAGAAGGCACTTGCTGCAAGCTCAAAGACTTGTTTCCCACATTCAAACTGTCTCCTTTTACCTGTATCATTGCTTGTGGTCCAAAACAAGCATTTCGGAAACAGTTTCACAGACTTTATAATTAATACTCTACTTCATGGGGTTGACACCAGAAAGCAGACATGTGGGAGGGAGCTGTAAAATCTCCAGACTTTTTTTAAAAATAGATTAAAATATAAGTCTGGATAAGGACTGTCTCTATACATGTACAGCATGAATCTGATCAGAACTGCTCCATAAGGAATTTGCTTTTGCTTGTGGAGTTACTCTGGGACTTCTAGTAACATAACAGACCTGAATTCAGCCCCCAGATTCAAGAATTACTTACATATCACAGTGGCTACAGACTGCATAAGGGAGTTACCTTTTCATTCATTCGTTCATCCAGAGGATCCTCAGATGAATCTCAGAACCTTTCCATAATAATAAAAGCGATGATGCCTAGAATGTCCCATCAAAGGGGCATTTGAGGACAAAGCACTTTTATCCTCCAGCACTTGAAGCAGCTGAAGCCCAGGACTTCAGCGTTCAGTTTTACATCTTACACTTGTGAATGCAAACAAGTGTTCTGTCCAACAGCACACACTGATAGTGTACCCATGTGTTTGTACACTCATGAAGTACAAAAGTGAACACGCTATTGCCACAAGGCACAAAATCCTCAAATCAAATCCCTTGCAAAGTCAATCAACAGTTGCACAATTTGGATCCTGACCTAACAAAGAACAAGTTCACCAGGCTCACTTCTGGGCTGACAGAGGAAGGTTACTCAGATACCCTTCTTTTCTTTTAAGCACCAACGCACCTTTCTACTTTGTGTTGCAGTACCCAATCTTTCCAGTGACAAATAGCACATGAGCAGGAAGAGTCATCAATCAGAAACAAACCTATGCTGAAAGGTATCCTGCACTGCAGTGACTGCTCTAGTTCTCTCTGTAAACAGCATTAAACATACACTTGCAAAACGCTACTCTGAATATTTATAGCACCACATCTCACAAAACTGTTATGGGAAGTATCATTAACATTCCAGTATTAAAAGCAAGACAAAGAACTACCCAGAGGAGGGATCTGCCAGTTCCCAAGCACAACCCCCAAGCGTGATGCTCCCTGTCTCTCTTTGAGGGAGTGCACTGGGCCACACAGAGCTGAGTAAGTTCTCTCTAGGAAGGAATGAGGCAATTAGGTTAAAATATTGCTTAGCTCTAAGGCAGAGTAACAAACAGTTCATGCACTGAGGCAACCTTGTGCATCACAGCCACGATAATGTGGTTCCAGTAAGCCGAAGTCAGTTCCTGGCAAGCCTTCTAACGGGCTGGGATTTGTTGTATTTGGACCATCTTTGTGCACGCAAAATACAAGTACATATAGCTAAATATTGTTAAATATAGTAATTTGTAACTCTGTCAAGCAGAGTGGCACCACTGTGCTCTATGCTAGGAGATAATGGAGATCCACCTCCCCAGCCGCCTTTGCAGACACAGTGCAGCGATGTTATTTACCGGGATGAGTTATTCAAGGTTTTCCTCCACAGGTGTTTCACAGTCAAGCCTCCTACAGCACCAAGATGGTCTGTGACATGAACTGCAGGCCAGGAAGGACAACATAATTGTCTGAAATCTAAGCTGCGAGGCTGGAATAACTAGATTTCCTTGAACTGCAAGTTCAGATCACAGCAGGGTCATCTTAGCTATTCAATTCACACAAACGAATACATTCAAACCCACCTGAAATGGAGCATATGTGAGTCTTCCCATGTGGAACAGAAACAGAAACTTTGTCTCTCTTGTCCAGACATTTCATAATAATTAATTACGTTACTCTATTATTTGTACTAAAATGATGTCTTCCAAGCCCAACTGAGTTTACCCAATACCAGTCTGCACCCCAGATGTCTATTCACCAGGCATTTATTCAGGTAACACTGCTACCACATTGGACACATGGAATTATTGCTTGGCCTGCTATGTGAAGGCTTGGTGTACAAGGGCCGGTGCCCCACTGTGACCGAACAAACCTACACGATCTGCCCCCTCCATTTAGTCTTCCCAAACATGTTCACACTCCCAACACCACTAGCCCCCAAGCTGACCCCCACTGTCACCAGTCATCCCAGCTGGTTAATGGCAATCCAAAATAAGCAAGTGCTTGACTTCAGACGGACAAGAGAAATCTATGCGGAAAAATGACAACAGCGATGGGGTTCCCTGGTAAGAAGAGCAAAACGCTCAAGGAAGTCAAACGCAGCACGTGTTATGATCATAGTTTTAAAAGAAGTAGGAAAAAAATCCCTTGTACAATTCAACAATCATCTCTGCCCTCTCGTCTTCCCCTTTCCAAGCAGACTGTAATCCAAGATGCCATAGGGAAAAGCAAAGAGGCAGCAAGAAACTTGGTTTTCATGCTCAGTCAGGTTAGCATTAAAACAGAGACATCCCCTCCCAGCCTCCTCTGCCAGATGCCTCATTAATGCAGCTCTTGGAGCTCTGCCCAAGGATGGGGAGGAGATCCGCCTTGTTTTATTTGAAAACGGGGACCAGGGCACAGGCGTTTTCAAAATTCCAGTAAGGCCAAAAGACGGATGTCCACCCAAACACACCAGGAAGCTCAAATGTAGTAGAACCTGCATGGGGCAGGGAGAGAGAAAAAGATCATCTCTCCAGGGCACTTTCACTCATATAATTTACGACGCTCACGTAGAAAATGTCTATCCTTTTATCTGCTAAGAAACAATGAAGCATCAATGTCTTCAAATGCATCCTCCCACTGTGGCATGGCAGCCAAGGTGACATGTGACAACCAATACCCGAGGCTGCTCTCCCAGATGGGATAAGATGCAGGATGAGTAGAGTCTCATAACCACCTCATTTCCTCTTCCCAGGCAGGTCAGGTACTGCAGCGTTTGTTTTGGGATTGGAAAACCCTAAATCAGCTCTACAGCAATGCATCTGCAAACCCACGAGAGAACAATTTGCGCCATCAGTGGTGGAGCTAACGAAGCCTCATCTGGATTCTCCGATGGCTCACAAAAAACAATCTCCCGCCCTCGCTCTCCCTGCAGCTGGGTATTCACACTGCGCTCCGGTGAGGATGATTTCAACCAAGAGCTTGGTTGAAATGTCAACCCTTTCTCCCAGCAGGGACTCTACGGCGAGCATCACTTCCTCCCCCCCGCCTGCTTACATGAAACCGGTACAGACGTAACGCATTTGAGTTCATCCCCTTTATTTGGTTGAGACTGAGCAAGGGATTCAGAAGTTATTTTGGGGGAGCTGGGAGGGGTACAGTCACAGTCATTACGTCAGCTTCTGCCTAACAACAATAGGCAGATCAGCCTGCACAGTGACAGGTCTTTTTAATTCTTGCACCTCTTAAAGAGCCCTCCATCATTTAGGAGAGTTCCTCTCACCCTCACTTCTCAAAGACAAGCAGGGTTCACTAGACTAAACCTGGCTTCCCATAACGTGACAAATTACAGCTGTTATTAGATTAACACTGCCAGGTCTGGAGCCAAGAATCACATTGATGGACAGGAATCAGCCACTTACGAATCAAAGGGCTACTCAAAAGGATGATCCCTGGATTCTCACAGAGCAGTCGGCTGCCGGGATCCTGTGCTGTGAAGCATCCTTCTAAGCCAGCCTGTTTTGGACTCCTTGGGATTTCTGCACTTTGGCTTTGTATGCCCCCCTGCACCTTCCACACCAGAGTCCCTTCAGTGCTACATTAACGTTAGTAAAATGAAACCTCCAAATTTCCCCCTTGTCAGGAAAAATCAATGCTACCATTTTGCAGGGAGGAGGAAAAAGGCAGACAGGCACGATGACTCATTGCGTGGCCTCAGGCATGTGCCAAGGCAGAGCCAGGGTATCCATCTCTGCACAGCTCAATCCTAAACTACCCTCTCAATTACTGTGCAAGAGACAGACACAGACAACAGGCACCTGCACTCTGTAAGCGGGGCAAAAAGTGACCAAGCTAGGCAGATTTAGGGCTTCCCACCTGAAGGAAGGACACGGAGTTCATAACCAGGAGCTCAACCAGTCAAACAGCAGATGAGCAAGTGTTCAAAAGCCGCTGCTTTCCCCAGTGCCAACTCAAGGGTCAGCCACAAGGGAATTCGAGCCCACCCAAAGCTGTGCTCTGACTAATCCCCCAGTCAAGACAATCCCGAAGTCCGAGAGAAAGTCCATGTCAAAGTCAGAACCAAAGCCCTATCATCTCCTGCCTCTCAGTCCACTGGATGACCCACCAGACCTCTTCTCTCATGCAAATATAAACACGAGCAGCAAAACCAAGAAGCCAAAGGTTAAGGAAACATTAGCAGAAGACTTTAGACCAGAACCACAGAAGATATTTAGACACCTTAACTCCTGTCAAAAAAAATACCAGGGCTTTTGGCACCTATTTACTTTGACAGGTCTGAATTATTGGCTTGTTTATCCCAAGGAATCTTGAGGCAGCAAATGCCAGTCATCAGGAGTGAAGTTGGCTCTGTGGATAGATACAAGCTGCCTTCTCAAGCAATGGTAAAATCAGGAGATCCTTGTACTGGTCTTGTACAGCCCAGCCAGGAGGAGCCCAGGCAGATGGAGCAACAAGTACTCATTTGGACATCTACGCTCACTATGGCTGGGAGGACATAGTGCTGTTCATGATACTCTTTCCTTCGGTGAGTAATACCCAAGCACATCCAGGCACCAAAAATCATGTATTAAATAAAATAGCTTTGGCCTCAATAGACTTGGAACACATCTGTCATTTCCACTTCTTTCTGGAGGCTGTCCTCCTTTTCTAGGATAGGCACCTCTGTATTCAAGGGAGAGATAAGCAGACAGCTGGGAAATCACAGCACTATACCAGGAATCAAACTCAGATCATGCTGGCATGGTTCCTCATGAGGACAACATCACTGACTTCAGAACACAACACAGAATCATAGAATACCAGGTTGGAAGGGACCTCAAGGATCATCTGGCCCAACCTTTCTTGGCAAAAGCATGGTCTAGACAAGATCGCCCATCACTTACTTGATCTGCTCCCAGGTCTTGGTAGCCAAATGCAGGACCCAGAGATCCTTGTAATGATAGAACTGTTCCCCGTTGGGAGATGCAAACTCCCCGCCAAACACCCACAGCTGGCCGCCGGCTGTGGGCACCACCGCTGCCTGCCAGGAGAAGAAGGAAGAGCTGGATCAGACAAGGATTCAGAAACCAAAGACAGGAGAACTTTATCAGTCAAATATGCAGCTGTCTCCAAATACCAGAGAGTAGACAAGCGGCAGCGGCAGGAGCCCGCCG